TCCGCATCACCCTCGCCTTGGGCTTGGCCAGGTGGGCAAGGGTGGCAGTTGGCCGGTGAGCTGTGCAGACCATTACTCTTGGCCATCTTCCTCCATGTGAGGAGGCCACGGGCACACACACTGCTCCAGAGACCTGTGAAGAGCAGAAGACAGCCACAAGAAGAGCCATGCAGGACATGTCACATAGTTTGAACACAGAGATACAGTACAGCATGGGAAGAGCAGGTCAAACCCTACAGGATGTGACCACCCCGTGTTTTCCACCACCAGCCATTGCTGATGCTACAGTAAGGGTTCTGCAAAGCGTTTTGCCCTCCCCCAAGGGATCCCACATCTGCACATGGCCCATGAAAGATGCTCTCCTTGTTGCTCAGGCTCCTCAGCCATTGCCAGGGCAACAGCATCCCCAGCGAGCCAAGCCATAACAACGAGCTCTTGGCACCACTGCCTGCCCGAGGACAAGGAAACAGACTCCTAACTGCAAGGCCAGACCTGGTGAGAAGGTGCTGTCTTGCAGCAGCACAGGCTAGACTTTCCATGTACAAAGGTGTTTATACCCAAACATCTACCCTCCTTCCCCAAGGCACTGCAGCCTGGTCGTGCTCTGCCCTAGTGAGCCCCACCTCTTGTCACCACAGAAACCTCCCGCGTTGAAAAGTAAGGTTTGCTATTTAAAAAGGGTCTTTCTGAGGTTCCTGCTGGCAGGAGCCACCACCTGGTTTTAGCAGAGATCTTACGTTAGTATCTGGAGGCTTCTGCAGAGCTGTTAAGCGTGGGATTTCACTGGGGTTTGTTTATCTAAGAAGCAAGAGATGCCCACAGGGCTTGCCCAGCCCAGCATCACATGCAGCCCTCACTCTTCTGCTGCACTCTAGTATGGACCACTCCATGCAAAGGCACCTCACAGAAACATGGACTTGCACGTGCATGGACACAAAGGCATACAGGCAATGCCCTCGACCACATATTCCCAGCCCGGCTGCCCTGCCCACCTCCCCTGGGGCACAGTGCTCTCCAGACCCGCAATGCATGGTTGAGGCAGGTTCCTGGAGACAACATGCCTGTGCTCTCACACAGTGCAGCCCATGGCTGCAGCTCTGCTTAGAGGAAGGCAATGACTTGCACACCTCTACCAGCATGCACAAAGGCTACATCCACACCACACAGAGGGACGGTCACGCCCAAACAAGCCACCTCCCCGGGGCAGCAGAGCCACTGCTGGGAAGCCACCACTCTCTGTCCACTTACCAGTTTGGTGACCCCAGGATCCTTCAACACTTGGCGGCTGTCCAACCGAGCCAGCAAGGGCGGCTGGGGAGCATCCCTCCCCTGGGAGCCTCCAGGGCTGCCTCTGGAGCACTCAGGCTTTTAAAACGTGTGTTGAGCTGCAGAGGTCCCCAGCAGAGAAGCAGGAGAGGTACCAGGCAGCACCCTGGCAGCAGCAGAAGTGGACACACCTCTGATGTGGAAGGACGACACACACGCGTGTGCTCGTGACTCGTCACCACAGCACGCCCGTCCCCTGGGCATCCTCCACACCCTGGGCAACAAGGTGCACTTCAGAAGAATTAACAGCAGCCAGCTTTGTGTCTGGGAGATGAAAGGGGAGGAGGGAAACGTGCTGCTCAGGGATGCTCCATTTCCCTACCCACCATTCCCCTTCTCCCTGTCACCTCCTCAGTGGCTGGAGGGATCCCAGACATCTCTCAGGGCAGAGCCCAGCTGGAAATCGCAGCCGACCTGAGCAGCTCTGGGACTAGAGGCCCCCGAGTCCCCAGCAAACACTGGGGAAGGGTCACCACCCACCCAGGGACAGGCACAGCCAGCAGCCCCTCTGCTGGGCCCAAGTCCTGCCACACCAGGGGATTGTCTTCTGGGCTGCCTGCTTCTGCTCCCCCCGCAGCCCGCTGCAATAGGAAAAAACAAAGCTGCTGACTATTCCCCTGCTCCACAGGCTGTGCCACAGCTACTGTGAGGATGGGAAATTTGCAGAAGTAGCCGCATTTTAACACCCTCCCATCCAGCCACCTCTCCTCCTGCTCAGGCAGGAGACCAAATGTGCTGCTTTGGAGTCCCGGCGGAGGGAGGTGCAGTTTGAGGATGATCACAAAATACATCTTTCACCAATGTCTGCCCTCATGTTTTGTTCACAAAGCCATTCTAATAAACAGTTAGCTAAAAATTCACGTCCTTGAGGCAACAAGGAAGAGATTAATTTTCACCCCCTTCCTCCAGCATCTAGCCACGAGGCTGGACCAGTCTGTGCCACGTGCATAGAGTCCTGCACCATGGGCAGGGCTGATCTGAAAGTGCCAGGAGTCCCTTCACTATCAAAGGCTTACCTTCTCTTTTCCTTCAAAGCTTTAAAATCCACTTGTTCCGATCACACTAAAAACTTGGAAGAGCAGGGAGTCTGAAGGAGGAAACAGAATTTTTGCAGCCTTGGTCAAGACTGCTGGTGGTGTTGGTGCTTCGTGGGTGAGCACCCAGCAGCAAGGGACACATCACCCTGCTCTTGTCCCCAGGCCACAGACCTCAGATCTGGGAACAGATCTGTCCCACTTCCACATCTCCTTTTGCTTTCTGCCTGCAGCTGCCTTCAAAAGCAACAGGAGAACTCCAGGAGCTGCTCCCTCACCATACTGCACAAGACACTTCTGGCAGAGACACCCAGCCCTGCCACATGTGCTGCCCCAGGACAAAGAAGAGGAGGCAGGAAAGAGAAAGGAAATATATAAAATCATTGCACCTCAACAGGGATGGCAGTAACCAGACACTCTCCTCCTCCCAGTTACCCCCAGCCAGGGTGGCTGGCATGTGTGTTTGACACCGGCAGGCCAAACGAGCTCTGGAGATGGCAGAAATCCAGCACACGATTCAGGAAGCGTGAGTGGCTGAGACATCCAGCACCAGGTCAGAGTCCTGCTGCCAAGGGAACAAACCTTACCCGTTCCCATCCACTGGGGCATCAGGATCAGACTCCATGGTTGGTAGAAGAAACACAGCCAGAACACATCGAGCTTATTAAAACATGCATTTTATGGGTCAGTATTTCCAGATTTACACCAGGGCTTATGTCTTATGTGAAAGTCATATTGTACCTCCTACAACCCACCAATAATTAGACTTTGAAAACACATGCAATTCAATCACCTCTCCTCCAAACATCTTCAATCCACACTTTGAAGTGTGATTCAAAGTGTGATTTTAGGGTGAGCCCTTCTCACCCTAAAATACAGCTTAAAAAAACCCCAATGGTCAGCTTCCTCCAAAACGTTTTGGCACCTCTCAGAGAAGAGAAACCAGCCAAACGATTTCCTTGCTTTCCTGGCATGAATCACCCAGAGGCAGCCCCCTTACCCAGACCTGCTGTGTGATGCCCCTGGAAGCACCCCAGGAACCACCCCCGCACCAGTGCTGCCACCCCCCACACCCACCCTGCCACGGCACAGCACACTAAGCACACCACGTCATCCTGGCTCTCGTCTGCAATAAATCTCAGCACTCCCAGCATGGCTATCTGATACAGGTTCAGGTCTCCAATTACTTGTGGGATAGCTATCGATTAATCAACATCCAGCTGACAGATGTACAGTCCTGGATGCTTGATGCAGCTGCTGGCAGAAAACGCTCAAGCATCCACATCTGTAAATAAGCTATTGGGACATCTGGATTACCTGCAGATCCAGCTACAATGACTTACAGGTGGAACAGAAAGGTCCTGTTAAGCCATGCCAAAACCTGCCCCCAGAACCTGCCGGCACAACTCCAGCAGATGTGCTGGATGAACCATCAATCGTGTCTCAAAGTCACCTCAGATCCAAGTGCAAAGCTGTTGAACTGAGCTTGTTTTTAGCTAAAGAGCATCTGGGCCAAGAATTCCCCTCACCTGTGTTCCTGCACTATTGCTGAAGCTACAGGAGCAGAGCTGGGAGAGATCCTGCCCTCTGGCATTGGCAACCCAATGATTATCTACATCTGGTGGCATCACTGTTGGTCTTAGAATTCAGAAAGTCACCATGGGGAGGTTGGCCATTTCCATCTCTCTGGGAAAAAGCCAAGCTCCTGCACAAGCTCAGAGCTCAGCAATGCCCTTAGTCACATCAGATCTGAACATCTGCAAACCTGCTGCTGAACTGCCTCCTGCAGGACAGGAGCCAAGGTGGCACAGCAGTGCCTGGGGGACGGGAGATCCTGGCTCCTCCAGCTCTGTACCTCCTAGAGCAGGGCTATGGCATGGGAGAACCAGCAGTACTATCTCCACCAAAGAGCAATTGCACTTGGAAGAAAAGAAAACCCACCAGCAGTTTAAAAACATTCAACCACTCTACATAGGCTTTTGAGGTAGAGGATGAAGAACAGACCACAGCAGCTGGCTGAGGATTTTATAGGGTCAGAATTCAGTTACCCAGGCTGGGACATGGCCAGGGGACTGGGCCCACCACAGGCTAAGACTGTAACCCTGTCAGCAAACACCCAGCACCTTGGTTTTGCATCTCCTCCAGCAGACAGCCCAAGGGCCAGAGGGTCTCCCATTGTTTTGCACAACAGACACCCCTGCATCAGCCCCAGACTTCTTATGAGACCTGGGCTCCTCACAGCAGCTTCCCACACAAGCACTGACCCCATCAAACACACAAGGTGTTTGCTAGTGTGCACAGAGCATTTGCAGCCACGCCCCAGCCCTGGGACAACACCTGTTGGGCCATACTCCTTGTACCCCACCTCTCCCTGACACCCATCTCCAGCTGCTGGGGCACAAAGTCTGGCTTCATAATCTTCCTCATGCTAGAAATGATGCTAGAGCGTGGGAGAGGGATGGCACCTTAATTGTAATCAGAGCCCAAAGGACACGGATCCTCAAGGGCCTACAGTGCAAAAAGCAGGTCAAGTGAAGAAGAAACACGTAGTTTTATTGTTTGCAAGTACATGAGTAAGGATCCTCCCCTGCCCTCATCCATCCTGCCAGGGCTGGGCAGGGAAAGCTGGGGCGTGGGAAATCATCTCCTCAGCCAGAGCCATGTGTTGATGAGGCAGGTGGAGATCATCACAGAGTAGACCAGGGCCTCCTTCTGCCGCCAGGCGTGGCACTGCTCCTCCAGCACACGGAGCCTCCCAGAGATCCTTGTCAGCTGCAAGGGAAGCAGCAGGGCCACTGTTAGCCCTGCAGCAAAGGGCAGGACACTGGCTACACCCCAGAGGCATGTGGCAGCAAGGGATGGAGGGATGGGAGCTGCTATCTCTTCCAGGTCCCCCTTTTCTAGAGCAGCAGCTATCTTTGTGGTGAAGAGGAGGAGAAGGTCCTTCCCCTCAGAAGAGCATCTCAGCACTTTATTGCCAGCAGATGGAAGGGTGACTGTCTCCTGTAGCCCCACAGCCCCTGAGGTTAGGAGCTTGATGGATCAACACAGATGGAAGCCCTCCCCTGCTTCTCCATTAGCAGGATCAGCTGGGATAGCTTGGCCCATCAGGAGTAGGCAACAGACCCCCGGAGCCTGCCCTTCCACCCTCCTATGGCTTCCCCAGGAAACATGTACAGCCCTTCTCACCTGCTTCCTCATTGCCGCCATCTCAGCCACCCCAGCCTCCTCCAAGGTGCTCTCTGGGGCTGGCCCAGCCTCCTGGGACCTGGGGAAGAAAAACAGAGATGCAGACAGACAAACAGAGCTCCGGAGGTGCAGCTGCCTTCCCGCGCGTGCAGCACTGCCACGGGGAGCCGAGCCATGCAGGGAGCGTGTGCATGCCCAGGGTGTGCTGCCCAGATGCACCATCAGGGGAGAAGGAACAGCACCTTGACCTGGGAGACAGGCCTGGGGAGCAGAATGAAGCCCACATAATCCAAAAGAAAATGGTCAGTGACCTACAACACCACTTAAGACACATACAAGTCTGCGGGGCCAGATGGGATCCACCCAAGGGTACTGAGGGAGCTGGCAGAGGTGCTCACCAAGCCACTTTCCACCACTTATCAGCAGTCCTGGCTAACTGGGGATATCCCAGTTAACTGGTGGTTACTGAACATAATACCTATCTACAAAAAGGGCCAGAAGGAGGATCTGGGGAACTACAGGCCTGTCGGTCTTGCCTCAGCGACAGGGAAGACGGTGGAGCAGAACATCCCGAGTGCCATCACGTGGCACATGAACGACAACCAGATGAACAGGCCCAGTCAGCATGGGTTTATCAAAGGCAGGTCCTGACTGACTAACCTGATCTCCTTCTATGACAGGGTGACCCACCTAGTGAATGAGGGAAAGGCTGAGGATGTTGTCTACCTGGACTTCAGTAAAGCTTCTGACACTGTTCTCCACAGCATTCTGCTAGAGAAATCAGCTGCTCATGGCTTGGATAGGAGTACACTTCACTGGATAAAAAATTTGCTGGATGGCCAGGCCTAAAGAGTGGTGATGGATGGAGTTAAGTCCAGCTGGTGGCTGGTCATAAGTGGTGCTCTCCAGGGCTCAGTGTCGGGGCTGGTTCTGTTTAGTATCTTTATGAATGACCTGGACAAGAGGAACGAGGGCACCCTCAGTAAATTTACAGATGACACCAAGTTAGGCAGGTGTGTGAGTTTGCTTGAGGGCAGGAAGGCTCTGCAGAGGGATCTGGACAGGCTGGAGCAATGGGCTGAGGTCAGCTGGATTAGGGTTAACAAGGCCAAGGGCCGGGTCCTGCACTGGGGTCACAACAACCCCAGGCAACACTCCAGGCTTGGGGAGGAGTGGCTGGAAAGCTGCCTGGTGGAAAAGGACCTGGGGGTGTGGGGGGACAGCGACTGAACACGAGCCAGCAGTGTGCCCAGGTGGCCAAGAAGGCCAAGGGCATCCTGGCCTGGATCAGAAATAGTGTGGCCAGCAGGACTAGGGGAGTGATCGTCCCCCCAGACTCAGCACTCTTGAAGCTGCACCTCAAATACTGCATTCAGTTTTGGGCCCCTCACTACAAGAATGACATTGAGGTGCTGGAGCATGTCCAAAGAAGGGCAATGAAACTTGTGAGGGGTCTAAAGAACAAGTCTTACAAGGAGCAGCTGAGGGAACTGGGGCTGTTTAGCCTGGAGAAGAGGAGGCTGAGAGGAGACCTCGTCACTCTTTACAACTACCTAAAAGGAGGTTGGAGCAAGGTGGGCCTCAGCCTCTTCTCACAAGTAACAAGTGATAGGACAAGAGGAAATGGCCTCAAGTTGCACCAGGGGAGGTTTATATTGGATTTTAGGAAAAACATCTTCACAGAAAGGGTTGTAAAGCCCTGGAACAGGCTTCCCGGGTAATCGGTGGAGTCACCATCCCTGGAGCTATTTAAAAGGTGTACTTAGGGACATGGTGCAGTGGTGGACTTGGCAGCCTTTACAGGTTTATGGTTAGACTCAAAGATCTTAAGGGTCTTTTCCAATCAAAACAATTCTTTGATTCTACCTGCACAGCATCTACTCACCCCTTTGTAACCCCCATCATGCATATTTATACCCCACCACCATGCACTCCACAGTGATCACAACAAAAAATACAGCACATGCCATGACAGCAGGGAAAACACATGCTTGTATTTCTGTAAAGGTCCAAGAGAGAAAAAACATTTACCAACCATCCATTCTCTATATTCAGACGAGTTCACTGAGGGTTGGATAAATCATCTTTAGAGGCAGTCGGATAAATATGAATCCCAGGGCCAATGGAGGGATGATCTCATTCACATCAGCAGGTGAGGATCCTGCTGGTGGGAAGCAGCCATCAGCTCAGGGGAACTATCTGAGCAAGTGCATCAGCCAGCAGAAAAGGGTCCTGTGTTTGCTGAGACAAGGATTTGTTCCTCTCCAGCATCTCCAGGTATCACAGTTCCCTTTCCCTGCCCCTCGCCCCACCTCAACACAAAACAAAATCACTTTTTGCTCTTACAGCAAATTTTACCTGCAACTTGACACCTAAGCAAGTAACCCAAGCACACACCACTTTCTTCCATGCCTGGAAACAAAGGGACCACCACTGGGACTGGCTGCTGCAGTGGAGAGGCAACACAGACCACAGATCCCCAAGGCACCCCCTGGGGACACAGCCTGGCTGCAGGGCCCTCAGCACCGAGTCACAAAATAAAGTGGATCCACAATGAGAAAAACCAAAATTGCCATGTTTGGTCTGTTGTTCCTATCATCACAGGCTAGCCCTGCATCAGTTCTTCTATAACCAAAGCTGCCCTCTGCACACACTAACTCACATGGGCACTTGCTGATACCATAGGGGTTAACAAGTGTCCAACACTGCTCCTTCAGAGACCTTGAGGAGGAGAGGGCAACTTGACGTGGATCTCGCCAAAGACAAGCCAGAACAGCTCAAATCCACAGAACAGTCAGTGCACCTCCATCTGAAAATACCTCTGTGAGGCAATACCTGCATGTAATACAGCTGCAGTGTAAAAAGAAAGGGACAACAAGAAGAAAACACAATTTCCCCCTGCACAGAGTCATTAAGAAAGGATACATCCTGCAGCTTTTGACTGAAAACTCCCAGTTGATACAGGTGAACAACCTTTAAAGTAGAGACTAGAGGCCTTCCAACGACTCACACCCTTCAGTTCACTCTCAGGCAAATATTCCAGTTCTGTCTGAGAACAGACTTTTCTTTAGTAAAATCTCAGGACAAACAAATCAGCTCAGTCATTTTTTAATTTTTTATTCTTGCTCAGGGGCACAAAAGTGTATAAAAAAGATACTGGATGCATCTGAAGTGATGTAAAACTACCAAGAAGAGGTGTTTCAAGGTGGCTGGCTTCAAAGCAAGATTGAGACCTTAAGAGAGGCCTGAAACTCAACCCACTGCATTAGAGCAGCTCCACAAGCTACCACCTCTCATTGTAACATAGCCTAAACCTCCTTTACCGCTCATGAGAGGAGGGAGAGAGTCCCACATAGCCACTAAACAGATCTGTTGGCATGTCTAGACTTTGTCTAAAAAAAAAAAAAAGCCACATTTGACAACAGTCAGCCTATTGTAGTTACAGTCAGCCTATTGTAGTTAAAAGCAGGCACATCACTTTGCATTCCCCACAGGGAGGAGCCAGCTCCACTGCTGCACCTCCACTCCAGCTGGGGAGGGAAGGCAGGATGTGCCACTGATGATACAGATGATGGATGCTCACTCTCCACCCTTTCTGCCTATAGCCTCTGCTCAAGGAGAATTAGAAGTATTTAGACGTTCCTCTGGGTGCTCAGCAGCCTTAGAGCAGTGAGGACACCTTACGGCTGCAACCATGTCTTTCAAACACATAACATTTACTGCACTTGCACAGATGAGTGGGATGGAGATAGCTGCTCCAGCACACCCGAAGAGACTGAGGCCCCTGCATGCCTGCTCCAGTGAGCACGCAGGCATACTGCACCCTGGCCATGGGATGAGCAACCTGCTGCAGCCAGTTCTTGGAAAAGGTTAATTATGAGTGACCAGGACACAGTCAAGGGTGCTGGGATCCCCCAGGAGAGGGTGTTCTGGGGACAGGACCTGGGTCAGGCCATCTGTTCTGGATTTGGATTCCCTTCACCTCCGTCGAGCTACCAAGGCATGCAGAAAAAAAACAGCACTCTTAGTAGTGAAGAGCACCCGAAATCCCAGCAATGTCACAGGCAGCACTCCATCACTCAGGGGGGTGCAGAGGGCCCAAGGCACCAGAGTTAAGCTAAGCATGAGACACAAGCTGGGCTGGGTTAGCAGGGTGCACCCGGGCAGGGTGCACCAGGCACTCCTGGGCCAGACACCCGGAGCTGGCAGACAGGACAGGCAAGAGGGAGAGCCCGGGGCAGCCATGCAGGATCCTCCTGCTCCTGCACTGTGTGGCTGCAGCTCCCAGAGGTGGTGCCTGGCTCATGCCTTAGCGAGGGAAAGGCGAGCCCTTGCAGAATGACAGGGAGGTGGCTCAAGACGAGCCAAAGTCACCTGGACAGCACTGAGCCTTGCAGAGAGTCCTGGACACGGTGGAGGAGCACCTGGCCCAGAAGGTACATGGTCTGGAAGATGTTCTGCATGGAGTAGATCCTGCCCGTCCCCATGAGGACGGGGAGCGGGGCCCTGCGTGCTGGCAGAGGGCACACGTCCGGCCTGCAGCACACAGAACCACGCCTGTTACCTCCTGGCTCTTTACAGCATGGACACAGCCTACTGTTTGGCAGTGCCTTTCACTCCCTCAGCAGCCCTAAGCATCTCTGGGCAACGCCATTAGTACCCAGAGCCTCATGCTGCCAGATCGAAGAACCCCCTCTAGTAGCCCCCAAGCTTAGAGGCGGTCTCCTGACTCCTCCAAAGCCAGCTATGGCTGTGTGACACCCAGACCTTCATCAGCTGCTCTCACAGGGGCTGCAGAAAGCAGCTCTCCTGCCACCCAGAACAGTCCTGAACTTCTAGGGGGAAAGATGGCTTTGCTCTGGGATTAAGTTAGAGACAGCTTCTCCACTGGAGAGACTTCAGAGCCCAATGCCATGTGCAGAGGATCACTATCACCATGCTACTGCTCACAAGCTACACTCAAAGAGCTGGAAAGCAAGTATGCACTTAGCCCACCTTGTCTGCAAGGCACCTCAAGTTTCAACACCTGTAGAAACCCAGTTAAGCCCTGGTGCCTCCTTTGCCAGTGGTGACCTCCCTGTAGCTCCCAGCACTCTGCTGTGCTGGTGCTGGAGCAGGAGAGTACACTGCAAAGCACCAAGAGGAAGATGGGCACAGCCAGAGAGACTGGGATGAGCCACAGCAGGCAGCAAGGTCCTCTTGACCCAGTGCCCAGGCAAGGACTGACACTCCCAGACTGCTATGAGAGGGGACATCCTCTCCAAAGTGCATCTCAGCACAGAGCTCATCACCCTGGGGACCAGGGTAGCTGCCTTCCATGCTGCCTGGCATAAAACTCTCTGACACCAGAAGCCAAGTTCTTCTCATGCAGAAGTAGGACTTGCCAGGCATTGCCTTGCCCTGATCTGGATATGTTCCCACCCCAGGGAACTGGTACTAGAGAGCATTAAAGCAGCACAGATGACAGGAGATGCTGATCCCCTCCCGTCCCAGACAGCTCTGGGTTCATACTCACCACTCATGGTGCTGGCCCAGGCTGTGCAAGGCCAACTGGGCACAGTCACTTGGAGTCCTCTCCCGCCGTGATCTGCTGCTGTGATGGCCCTGTTGTCATCAAACACAACTGCATTAGTGCAGAGACCCTGCACAGGGCAAGCCCAGCTCAGTGCCCTGCATGGTCTGCAGCACCAGATGCCCATCAGCACGGGGAAAGCACTCAGTGGTGAGAGCATCACATGAGCTCCAAACCTGGTAGGCTGATGCTGGAGTGGGTGGGAAGACACACCTGGAGCAGGGTGAGAGTCACCAGCAAGGTGTGAGCTCTATTCAGATCTAAATCCTGAACCTAATGCATCTGGGAATGGCTCTTGAATCTCAGGGAGATGAAAGCACTTGAGGAGGCAGATCAGCAGCTCCAGCAGCCAAACGAAGCCTTTGCCTACCTATGTCATGAATTAAGGTTAAAACATGCTTTCAGCTTGAGCACCAGAACCCTTCATGCTGCAGTGATGAAACAGCTGTCTCATACTTCATCCAGGAGAAACAGTGGTTGAAAATGGACTTCAAAAGTAGCAGAAGGAGGTTGTGAGGTGACTGCACCTACCTCAGCCTATTTCCTGCTCACAAAATGCAGCAGGAGATTTGGCTGAATTGATGTCCCAGCATGCAGGTGTGTACTGGTTATGGGACAGAAAAAGATCCTACCACCCCTACAACGTCACTCCTAGGACCTCCCAGGAGGAGGCAGCAGTCTGGAAGAGAAATCCTGGCTTGGACCTCTAGAGAAAGGCAGTGCTGGGATTGCCCCTCCTTCCCACCACACCCACTGCCAGCCCAGTACCGTCCG